TGTTTAGCCTGGAGAAGAGGAGACTTAGGGGGGACCTTCTCAATCTCTTCAACTACCTGAAGGGAGGTTGGAGTCAGGAGGGGTCAGGCTGCTTTTCCAGGCAACCAGGGACAGGACAAGAGGGCCTGGCCTGAAGCTGCTCCAGGGGAGGGTTAGGTTGGATATTAGGAAGTACTTCCTCAAGGAGAGGGTGATTTGACCTTGGAATGGACTGCCCAGGGAAGTGGTGGAGGCACCCTCCCTGAAGGTGTTCAAAGACAGGCTGGATGTGGCACTTGGTGCCCTGGTCTGGCTGATGTGGTGGTGTCAGGTCATAGGCTGGACCTGATGATCTGAAAGGTCTTTTCCAGCCTTGGTGATTCTGGGATTTTCTTTCCTGAGGGAGAGGCTGGTTCCCGGATTCCCTAATGGAAAAACCCAACTCCCATTCACCCCAACCCGAGGAGCAGCCCCGCTACTCGCACGTTTCCCAAAAGATTTATTTTCCCCTCTTCCTTCCAGCTCCGGAGCCATGGCCGGAGGGGGGAGGCCGAGGCCGCTGCGGCTGGTGCAGGAAGGGCGGCTGGATCTGCTGCGGGATGAGCCCTTGGAGCCGGCGGGGCGGAGCTACGGGCGCTCGGGGGACACTTTGCTGCACCAGGCGGCCCGGTTCGGCCACCCAGATGTCCTCGCCTACCTGGTGGAGGCGCTGGAGATGGACCTGGAGGCGTTCAATAGCGACTACAAGAGACCCCTCCACGAGGCAGCCTCCATGGGCCACCTGGAATGTGTCTCCTACCTCCTGGAGAGAGGAGCCAGCGTGGATTGCTTGAAGAAGGGAGACTGGTGGGTCGGTGGATTGAGCTGCTGTGGGTGGGAGTGGTGTCTGGAAGGGGTTGGGTGGAGGAAGGGGCAGTGAGGCTGCAGGAGCTGTCATTTAGGATCATAAAACCAAACACTGGTTTGGGTCAGAAGGGGCCTTTAAAGGGCATCTAGTCCAGCCTGCCACGAGCAGGGACATCTTCAAGCAGATCAGGATGCTCAGAGCCTCATCCCGCCTGACCTCAAGGGATGAGGCATCACCACCTCTTTGGGCAACCTGGGCAGTGTCTCATCACCCTCCTTGCAGAACAGTTCTTCCTGGTATCTAGTCTGAATCGCATTGAATCATGGAGTGGTTTGGGTTGGAAGGGACCTTAAAAATCATCTACATCCAACCCACTGTATGGGCAGGGACACCTCCCACCAGCCCAGGCTGCTCCAAGCCCCATCCAACCTGCCCTTCAACACTGCCAGGGATGGGGCAGCCACAGCTTCTCTGGGCAACCTGGGCCAGGGTCTCCCCACCCTCACAGCCCAGAATTGCTCCCTCACATCTCAGCTCCAGCTCCCTCTGCCAGCTGGAAACCCTTCCCCCTGCTCCCATCCTTCCCTGCCCTTGTCCCAAGCCCCTCCCCAGCTTTCCTGTAGCCCCTTCAGGCACTAGAAGACTCTCTAAAGTCTCCCTGGAGCCTTCTCTTCTCCAGGCTCAACACCCCAACTCTCCCAGCCTGTCTCCAGAGCAGAGCTGCTCCAGCCCTCCCAGCATCTCCGGGGCCTCCTCTGGACTCTCTCCAACAGCTCCATGTCCTCCTTGTGTTGGGGACCCCAGAAGTGGCCCCAGCCCTGCAGGGGGGTCTCAGCAGAGCAGAGCAGAGGGGACAATCCCCTGCTGGTGGCAGCCCAAGCCATGGTTAGTTTCTGGGCTAAATTCCAGCCCCATCACTGATTTCCTCCTGTTTATCCTAGCACTTTTATCTTACTTCATCATTAGCAGATGGAATTTCAAAGCTTTCATCCTCAGCCATTCCTTCTTAACCACTCCCCTGTTTGATGGGAAGCTGTGATACTGATTCACATGTTTGTGTCCTGATCTTCAAAAACTGAAATAAGATAAAATGTAAGTTTTGTTCCTGTTTCATCCTAGAATCACAGAATGGGTTGGGTTGGAGGGGACCTTAAATATCATGTGGTTCCAAGCCACCTGCATGGGCAGGGACACCTCCCACTAGAACAGGTTGCTCAGGGTTCCAGTTTTCCACACAGAAAAAGAGCATTTTGGGTCAGTTTTAGTACTGATGTAACAGCAACAGCCCCAAGAACCCAAGGAACAGCTGGTTTCTTCAGGGCTTTTGTTTGCCTGCCACGTGGGTGACACGTAAGCAAATGGTTTTGAAATGAGAATTTGGAATAAAAAAATCAAGCTTAAGCCACAAACAAGCAGCTGGGCTGATTAATGTCAAATTAATTTGCTGGGGAGGGAGATTTCTGTGTACCACCTTGTAAAATAAAGCCAGAATTGTCTCCACCTCACAAGTTAAAGCTGAACTAGCAGGAATACAGAGGCAAAATCCCAGTCCTCATCCTTGGAGGCTGTGCCAGCAACGAGCTGACATCAGAGGGAGGCAGAGATCCCAGGAGCTGGATGGGGATGCCTGTGCCAGCCTGGTTTGTGCTGTGGGCCCACGGTGCCCTTCCACCCAGTGATTAAGTGGGGAGCTGTGTGCTTCCTGGTGCACATCCCAGCTGTTGGGTGAAGTCTCATTTGCATAGAAAATGCACCCTCAGCTGAGGCACAGGATGGAAATGGAGCTGCAGGAAACATGGAGCTGTTGGAAAGAGTCCAGAGGAGGCCACAGAGATGCTGGGAGGGCTGGAGCAGCTCTGCTCTGGAGACAGGCTGGGAGAGTTGGGGTGTTGAGCCTGGAGAAGAGAAGGCTCCAGGGAGACCTTAGAGCAGCTTCCAGTGCCTGAAGGGGCTCCAGAAAAGCTGGGGAGGGACTTGGGACAAGGGCAGGGAGGGATGGGATGAGGGGGAAGGGTTTCCAGCTGGCAGAGGGAGCTGGAGCTGAGATGTGAGGGAGCAATTCTGGGCTGTGAGGGTGGGGAGAGCCTGGCCCAGGTTGGCCAGAGAAGCTGTGGCTGCCCCATCCCTGGCAGTGTTGAAGGGCAGGTTGGATGGGGCTTGGAGCAGCCTGGAATGGTGGGAGGTGTCCCTGCCCATGCAGGGGATTGGAACTCAGTGATCTTTCAGGTCCTTTCCAACCCAAACCGTTTCATGATTCTATGAACCAAACTCCTCCAGCTGGTTCAGCACTGTCCCTCTGGTTCTTATATCTGCCTAGTTTTCTTCTAGGACTCCCCTGATGATGGCTTGCACCAGGCAAAACCTGGAGGTGATCAAAGCTCTGGTGGATCATGGAGCCAACCCACTGCTGAAGAACAAGGATGGCTGGAATTGCTTCCACATTGCCAGCCGGGAGGGGCATCCCCATGTCCTCCAGTACCTCCTGGATGTGTCCCCAGGCTGTTGGGACACTGAGAGCACAATCAACAGAACACCTCTGCACACAGCAGGTAAAAGAGAGTCCCATTGCCACCAGGAACGTGGCATGTTCATTTGTAATTTGGAGAAGCAAGGTGTGACTTATCTTGATACAAAACCACAAGGAAATGGTTAAATATTACGTGGTTGAAATGCAATGAAATGAAAGGAAGTTGGTGGTGGGCACTGTTGGAATCTCAGCTGTTCTGAGCTTCCATCTACTGACAGGGCTCTGCTGCATCTTTGCAGGGTTTCACTTCAGGACAGAGATTAATTTTAGTTGGTTTCAGGTAAACAGCAAGAAGCAAAGTTCTTGTTTCTTAATAATGTGCCAAAGACTCAGCTCGTGAGGTCAGAAGATCCTCAGTTCCTGTTGCGTTGGGTTTTGCCTGCACTTAGGGCATGTTTTTGGGGTGATTAATAGTCCAGTTCCCTTGGGAGTGGTGGGTCTGTGGCAGGAGCACTTGCAGTCAGAGAATCATAGAATCACAGAGTGGTGAAGGTTGGAAGGGACCTTCAAGATCATCAGGTTCCAACCTCCCTGCCCTGAGCAGGGACACCTCCCACCAGACCAGGCTGCACAAGCCTCATCCAACCTGCCCTTGAACACCTCCAGGGATGGGGCAGCCACAACTTCTCTGGGCAACCTGTTCCAGTGCCTTCCTACCCTCATGGTGAAGAGTTTCTCTCTAATATCTAACCTACATCTCCCCTCTTTCAGTTTAAAACCATTACCCCTTGTCCTATCACCCTCTCTGGTGAAAAACCCTTCCCCAGCTTTCCTGGAGCCCTTTCATCAGGCACTGGAAGGTGCTCTAAGGTCTCATCCACTGGCTCTGGTCTCCTTGGACCAGGGTGTCCATCTCCATCTCTCCTTCCATATGACAGATGTGTCTGAATTCCCACAGCTCGGGATATATTGCCAAGCTCTTGTTCTTGCTGATTTACAAAGGTGCAGATTGCAGTTGGAAAATCTGCACAGCTCTAAATGTATCCTGGTCTTTTTAAAGTCCTAAAACCAGCAGAGCTGCTGAGACACACCTGGAGAATTGTGTCCTATTTTGGAGCCCTCAACATAAATGTGACATGGAGCTGGTGGACTCAACCCAGAGGAGGCCATGGAGGGCTGGAGCAGCTCTGCTCTGGAGACAGGCTGGGAGAGTTGGGGGGTTCAGCCTGGAAAAGAGAAGGCTCCAGGGAGACCTTAGAGCAGCTTCCAGTGCCTGAAGGGGCTCCAGGAAAGCTGGGGAGGGGCTTGGGACAAGGGCAGGGAGGGATGGGAGCAGGGGGAAGGGTTTCCAGCTGGCAGAGGGAGCTGGAGCTGAGATGTGAGGGAGAAATTCTGTGCTGTGAGAGTGTTGAGACCCTGGCCCAGGTTGGCCAGAGAAGCTGTGGCTGCCCCATCCCTGGCAGTGTTGAAGGGCAGGTTGGATGGGGCTTGGAGCAGCTTGGAATGATGGGAGGTGTCCCTGCCCATGCAGGGGGTTGGAACTGGATGATCTTTGAGGTCCCTTTGAACCCAGACTCTTCCATGATTCTGTGATTTTGGCATCTACCCTTTGATGGTCATGTTTACCAGTTTGTTTTACAGTCTCCTTGCCAGTTTTTTCAAGAGCCTTTTCTCTCCAAATGATCCATTTTTGTGCACATGCTTGGTGAGTAAATTATGGCAAATCTGAAGAGCTGGAGGGTCTCTAGGGGCAACCTTTGGCAGAAGCATCACAGGTTTGAGTATTCTCACCTTCTTCTGAAGAAGGTCGTGTCAAGTGGTGAGAAATCCAGAGTGTGTTTCTGGAAAGGAAAAGGATACTGGGAATACACAGTGTTGGTAGTCTTGGAGCCCACCTTTTTTAATTGTCTTTTTAAATTTATTTTGTTTTTAGTTGGTATAAAAGGAGATATAAAGGGTGTGAGGTGGTTTTAGGAACCACAGGCATAATCTGTAGGTATGGTGGGGAGCAGGACATGGTGACCCAGAGGCAGTTTGGGTTTGGCTTCTGGCTTTCTGACTCTTTCACCCTTAAGACAAGGGGAGTGTCTCAGTTTATAAAGGATGCACAAGGTTTGCCTCAGCTAATTCCTCTCAGCCTTTAGAAGTGGAATGGGCTAAGAATAAGTGAATGCAGAATGAAGTTTGTCCCACCGTGTCTCGTTGCCCTTCCAGAGTATCAAGTCTCGAGGCAGTGCAGAGAAAGCCTGGCTCTTCCCAGAGGTTAAATCCCCTTAATGCCTTCCAGAGATGCAGTGGGAGTGGCGAGTGAAGGCAGGGAGAGGTGACATTGTGGGGCAGGCTCAGGGCTGGAGGGTTGACCTGAATCTGAAACCTGCCCCATCCCTGAGCAGGGATTAGGCCCTGTGTCCCCAGGCTGGGCAGTGTCTCTGCAGGAGAGATGAGTGTCAGGAGCCACCATCAAACCTGCATCTGCCTACACTCATTTCCCAAATAATTTAATAGGGATTGACTCTCTTGGAAAGACCTGAGGTGTTGTGAGGGGACCCCTGCTGTGCTGTAATTAATCTGTTGAGTGTGTTGCTCCTTGGCTGTCATTCCTCTTACTTCTCCAGCCCTCAGTGGCTGCTCGTCCACGGCTCCCTTATCATCAGCAGTGACAGGCCCAGCCCAGGGGCACTGGCTGCTTCTTAGTCCTTGTGCTTGACCTGGGAATGAAAAGTACCTGCTGGTGGTTCAGACTGGGCCACCTGGAGCTGGTTGCTTGAATGAGAAATGGCCAGTTCTCGTTTATTTTTGTGTTCTGTCTCTGCTCAATCCCCGGTCTTGTGTTTTATGTGTCTGGGCTCTCGCAGGTCCCTCTCCGCCCTCTGCTGGCAGAGAGGTGGCTCTGGGGACAGCGTCAGGAGCTGGGTGAGGGCTCTGGTAGTATCATGGAATCACAGAAATGTTTCAGTTGGAGGAGACCTTAAAGACCATCCAGTCCCCCCTACATGGGCAGGGACACCTCCCACCATTCCAGGCTGCTCCAAGCCCCATCCAACCTGCCCTTCAACACTGCCAGGGATGGGGCAGCCACAGCTTCTCTGGGCAACCTGGGCCAAGGTCTCCCCACACTCACAGCCCAGAATTTCTTCCTAGTATCTCAGTCTCCCCTCTTCCAGTTTTAAGCCATTCCCCCTTTGTCCTCTCACTCCCTGCCCTTGTCCCAAGCTCCTCCCCAGCTTTCCTGGAGCCCCTTCAGGTACAGTGGGAAAGCTGGAGAGGGACTTTTTCCAAGGACACAGAGTGATGATGCTGAGTGAAAGGGGTGATCTTGAGCTTCCACTCTTCTCCCTTCCTCTCAGTTTTTGGGATACGAGAGTAGAGACAGTGACAGCAGGATCTAGTACTTCCTAGTAATGTCTCCTCCTCTGTGGCGTCTCCTGTGTTTGACTTTCCCTGTGGCAAAGCCCATGATTTGGGTTGATTTCTGCTCATTTTCTTGACCCAGGTTAGACCCTGGACCCCACATGGGCAGAGCAGCAGCCAGTGTGTGAGTGACTGGACAGCGGGAAGGGCTGGAGCTGCTTAAACCACCTTTCCCCCCCCAGCAAAATTTAACCCAGGACTATTCTGGGTGCTGCTACTGGGTGGGTGCTCGTGCCAGCATCCCCTCCCACACCACCACTTAGCCCAGTCACACTCTTGAGGTGGGGATACTGGAGAGGGGCTGGAGGCAACTCTGCAGCCGCCAGGGGAAATCACATCAAGATAAACCACCATCTCAATGAGTTTCTATCCCAAGGGTGTGGATATGAGCACATTAACCCGTGACCAGTCCAGATGCCTTCCTGGCACAGTTATCCCTTGAGAGATGATGGATAATTCCCCCAGTGTGCAATTTTATTTTTCGGGTTGATTCCTCCAGCTTTGCTGCCTCAATATATCTGTAGCCTGAGGCAAGAAGAGTGGGGGAGATGTAATTAGAGGAAGTGGAATGCAACAGTGGATCTGCAGCTTTCCTGTGTCTCTGTTGCTGTTCAAGGATGTCATTGTGTTGCATGGGCTGTTTTTTCTTCACGTTGCTTGGGTTGTTTTTTTTTTAAAGCCTCCATTTCAAAAATCCTTCTCATGGCACTGCCTGTGTTTACATCAGCTCAGGTGAGGGGGTGATAAATGGGCAGAGATCAGGAGCAAAAGGGGGACCAGAGAGGATGGCAAGCTCCCCTCCTTGAGCTTTCAAAGAGCATCATCTATTGTGCAGCTGAGTCTGAAGGTTGTTGCTGGTAACACACATTTGCCAGGGGCTCTTCTTTCATCACACAGAATAAATACCCTGGTGGAGCAGCAGTGGCCTTGCTTTGATTATTATTTTTTTTTTTCTCTTTAATGTATTTCAGTTCTTGTGCAAAATGACCTGCAGGGAAAAAACCAAACAAGCCAGATGAAGGCTGTCCACACATTGCTGTAATGTGATGTGGTGTGTTGTTGTTGATTTTTTTTAAAAAACACACCAGAATATATCAGTGCATGATGTTCAAATCCTCCCCCACGGTGGCTGTTTTTCCTCAGCAGAGATGCTGTCTGGGTGAGAGGATGCTTCATTAGGATGATGAGATGAGAGTGATGGGAAGTTGGAGTGGCTAAGGGGGGGTGGAAATGCCATCCAGCAATTTGCCAGCTCCTTGCTTTGTGTTCCTTTTGCTTCTCACAGATTTCACTTCGGGGATTAACAAATCCTTGCAAGAAAGGGTCTTTGTGGCCGCTTAATTGCATGGAGGCTCTCACGCATGTACCCTGCATGCAGAGGCAAACTGTGCCCATATGCCTGCCTTTTCCCTGGTTTATCTGGTGTTTTCCTATAGGATCAGGGGAAAGGAAGGCTTGAGATCTGGAGACAATGTTTTAAGTACAAAAAAAATATATAAAGGGAAAAAAAAAAAAAAGCGCCTCTTGGAAGCCCTTCCTGCAACATGAATAAGCCAGAAAGGGTCAGAAACCTTGATGATGTTTCACCGTGGGCGGAGGGTGGCAGAAAAACATCCATTAACCCTCTGCTGTCCCCTCTCTCCCGCAGCCATGCACGGCTGTTTGGAGGCTGTGGAGCTGCTCCTGGAGCGGTAAGCAGGATCCCTCCCGGCGCCGTCCCTGCTTCCCTGTTTCCCTGCTTTTCATCCCTCCCTCCCCCACCCCACCTCCCGTCCACAGCCCCGCTCGCTCTGGATACAAAAGGGCTGTTCATGCCGTTCCTTTCGGGAAGCCCAGATGTCCTGCATGCGATCCCGAGGCTGTCTCCCTTTCCTCCGGGTTTTTCACGGCTGGATTGGGGCCGTTGAGACACGGGATGATCTCTGATGGGTTCTGACTTCACCATGACATAAGCCCCAGTTGTATAACTCGGCTCTTCTTCTCTGCTGATTCATCCCTGTTGTCTCAGCTGTGGCCGAGGCCACAGAAGAACAACAAAACAGTTTTCTGGCAGCTGGGTTCTGAGAGCAGCTCTTCCAGGCTGGATTCAGTCTCCAGGCTTTATTTTCAGGCTGCAACTCCTGGGAGACTGCTGTGAAGTGGCTTTAAATCAGCTTGTGCCCAGTCATCCTGACCCTGTTACCTTCCTAACCAGGACTGCCTGCAGGCAGAGCTGGATCAGCTTTGCCTGGACATCACAGCCACTGCTAGTCAGGGCTCCTGTTTGCCAGCTAATCCTAGCCTTTTAATTCCAGGCTTGGCCCAGTAGAAATATAGCCCTGTGATTGGAGCCAGGCTTTCAATTTTAATTGAGTCTTCTCCTATTTCAATGGAGCTTTAACCTGAGCAAGACCTGCTGGCTTTGATTTAGTATGTGGTGGTGTTCCATGAGGATATGGTTTTCCACTGCACAGTTTACCCCTTCTGGAGATTCCCTGTTCAGGGGTAAAAGGGAAATAGAAATCATAAAATGGTTTGAGTTGGAAGAGACCTCAAAGATCATTCAGATCCAACCCCCCTGCATGGGCAGGGACACCTCCCACCATTCCAGGCTGCTCCAAGCCCCATCCAACCTGCCCTTCAACACTGCCAGGGAT